TTTTTATTGATCTTAAATTCATCGACATCTAGGTCATTATGCGTCATAATAATATAATAATAATTATAAATATAAATATATAACGTTACTGAAGTTATTGACAATAGTAGGTAATTAATATTGGTAATAGGTATTGAGTATATTATGTGGAAAGGACAGAAAATGAGTTATTTCAGTCGTAGGCGACGCACAGTGGTCTGAAATCGAATTTTAGGCGAAAAAAAGTGAAAGAAAATTGTTTGCTCGTCATGCAGGGAGGTTATAATATGAATATAACTTATAAGATGTTGCCCACGATGTAAATAACCTAAAGTTTATGTTTTGTAAGGACCGTGGCATATAGTTTTCAGTGTTGCCCCAATTACTTATTCGAGAGGGGGTAACATTTATTTTACCCCCAATGATTTTTTGACATCATACAGCATACATTTTATACATACATTTATCTAGTTAAGTCTCAACACAAATTAATGTGACTTTCTGGTAAGGTTTGCTTTTAACTTTTCTTTGGTAGACAGTCGAAAATTTTTTAATTTTCTTAATTTTAAATGAATTTTATTTAAGTTTCAACTTTAGACCCATATTGAAAATAATATATTGTGGATCTGTGTTCAACTTGACCGAGAGAGAAAATTATTTATCGATGATAATTAAAAATAAAAATGTTTAATGCTCAAAAAGAGTCTATATATTTTGAATATCTTGTAGGAAATATCTTTCAGGAAAATTCTTATATATTATATAAACATTTTGTTAAAATATAAAGTTTTTACGGTTAGTCATTTTTGAGTTACAACAGAAAAACACAATCGATTTTGTCGATAACTGGTTTTGTATAAAAATTACTTTTATATTTGTTAATTTTTTTTTTGTTTTTCACGACGCTTTTGAAAATTACTGGGAACTTTTTTACTTTTGATTTTTGACTCAACAAAGTATCAACTTGATTCACTTCCCTATCAGACAAGATGCTGAAGTAGAAATTTGAAAATAGAATTTATGTTTTAATGGTAAAACTATTAATTAAATTATTAGTTATTGGCTATTTCTAATGTTATCACACAGTACACACTACACGCTGCGACACACTAGGAAGTCATCTTTCTTATATTTGTACAATATCTTTTTACACTTAGGATTACGATTATCCACCAATTTTGGTTGTACACCCACCCCTTAAAATAGGTGTGGCGGCTGCCACACCTAATACATGGGTTCAGCGCCACTGACTGTAGACACTTATAGAAAAATGTTTCACGACTCTGCGTATAGAATTAATAAACCTACCTACAATAGAGCCGATTACATTTTTCTTGTTTCTTTACCACAGAGGTCAACAAACTTCTTTAATCGTAGTTACATACAGCCTGTAGTCTCTTTTATAGGCCAACAGCCGACATTTCCTAATCAAGCAATCACCAAGTTCGAGGTGTATTAATAATAGATATCGCCATATCGGATATCCGTATGGTGAACTAGTTACGACTCAAGTCAGTAGTCACTGCAGTTAGAATCGAAATCGAATACCTATAGATTATAGATACCTAAAAGCGTTTACAAGAAACTCTTTATAGATTGAACTCTACGGGACAACACCTTGTACAGTGTACTTCACACGGACATTGAACATTCGCATCAAAAAAAATATAATTTGTATTGGGTATAGTCCACCTGCGAAAGAAACAAAAAAAGTAAGTTTTTGACAGCCCTTTCATGGAAAATTTACTGTGAATACACTTTACAGTAATAATGGACAATGGTTTGATTTTGATAGTACCTAAACGTCAGTTAATTAAAATATATCAAATGTTCAAGTTTTATATTTAAGGCTTGACAAATTAATAGGTACAAGATTCTCATAGGTAGATGTTAGTGAAACCTAAATATTATTTAAAAAATAAATAATCTCAAATTCACAATTATATCTAAATTAATTGAAATGTGATTTTTAAGAAAAATTGTTGATTATTTCCGATAGTTGTATTATCTTTATAATATATAGGTATGAGGCATTACTCACTAGAAAATTGTAGTTCACGACAATTGTTAGGCATCTTGTGTTTTATTTTTGTATTATAATTTATATTTTACATGTGAATTTCAGACTGTTGACAACAGTTCTTGTTACGGTAACGACACCGAATTCGAAAATGACATTTATTAACATTATAAAGTTATATTACAAAACCGAACTACATATTTTGTTCCTTGCACTCTGATACAGTAGGTACATTTTGTGAATTGACAGATATTTCAGAAATTCCATACTCATCGATTTTATTCAAATTTGAATGTTTAAACCTACAGTTGAAGTTTTTTTTTTTATCAATAATTTAGGTAAAAATGTATAACCAAATAATATGTGCTTCTATTGGGTTATTTTTTTTTTCAAACAAAATTAGAACGAATTAATTTGAACGAAGCATTGATAATTTTGTTTAAAAGAATTCACTCTGCATGCATCACTTAAAAAAATAATTTTTACATTCTGAGTGGAGTGATGAGTGTATTGATTTAACAATGTGCTTTTTTTTAATTTTAATTTTTTTTTTTCCGACATCTGTAAACACTAAACGTACCTAGTCGAAATAATGCTTCGATTTTCAATTTCAGTATATAGTTCGATGGGAAATTGAATCGAGTTGGTACATTAGGAAGGTTAAAATTCCCAGTAGTTTGAAAAAGCGCCAAGAACAAAACAGAAAAACTAGAATTCTTATGCAAAATTGATTTTGGTTTTTGGTGTAACTCTAAAACAAATGACCCTACGCGTATTACGTGAAGTATATTTTACTGAATGTTTATATTAAGGGGATTGGTGGCGGTGATTTAATAAGGGGTCGCGTATATGCAATTCGATATCTTATATTCGTTACGCAGTGTGGTTGTGTGCGAAGTAAATGATCATTAATGACAATGCGTAGATATGTTCGGAGTCCGTCGTGACTCTCGCACATGTCAATAAAACGAAATATTATATTCTTCTATGCATAACCTATAAAAACTACCAAAAGCGGTATTAAATTAAACAAAAGTATCTAATGCAATTATTTCATGAGATTTTTAGAAAAAAATATCCAAAATGTATGGTCCTTTAAAATTGAAAATCGACTTCCTAGAAAGCCTAGTTATTTTGTCAAAGAATATAATATACATATATTAAAAATTAAAATCGGACATTCGGAAGTATGTGTAATTTACCACCGCTTATTGGTCTCAAGCATACGAAAAGTACGTCTGATGCAATCCCCTTAACATTTTCTATAAACGATAGGATTTTCAAAAAATCGTTATTCTTCCTTATTGAATATGTAATTTCCTCCAAATTTGAATATAAAATAACTATAAAAAAACTGTTTTTATATTTTTGAGATCTTTTGGTTACAAAACAACTTACTTAGCTTTTTGTAAGTTTTCAATCCTTAAGTATAAAAAATGAACATTTTATAAATTTTTAACTACAAAATCGTTTTTAAATTTGATAACTTTTGTTAAAAACCACTGCTTATAAAAAAATTGTGCCACATATATTTTTAAACTGCTATTAAGGCAATATATCAAGAGCTTTGTATTAAACTTTGAAGCTTTTTGGCCCAACAAATAAAATGTTATTGATATTTACAAAAAAAAAACTAAAAAAGTTGAAATTTGAAACAGTCCTTAAACAGCTCAAAACTTTTGAAAATTTTATGAAGTATAGGAATTGATAAAATAAACATATACATTTCAAAGGTCTAGTTTTTGAATACGCATTGCTATGGGATTTTCTTTTTAAATAAAGGAAATTAATATTAATATTTTATTGACTTGTTGAGTGAAAAAAATGCTTGACCAACTTTGACAAATTTCAGATAATATTTTGAAAAATTAAAAACATTGGAAAATCAAAATTATCTAAAGTTATTTTGCAGTTCAAAATTTATAGCTAAGGACTGAAAATTTAAAACAAGGTTCCACGTAAATTACTTTATTCACAATAACATCATCAAATATACTTTCTTATAGTAATATTCATAGGTCTTTGCTCAGAATCGTTTTTTGTATACAATGATATTATATTATTGAATTCAAATGTTACACCATGCATTTAAGTGACCCACTTGTAACATAATGTACAGCAGAGAGACACCCACTTGCTCACCTATTTATTTATGGACCCATGAAATCCATTTTACATGCAACCTAACCTGTAGTTAGGAGTTGGGAGCTTTAATAAGAGGCAATTTCGTTACTGCCGCTCATGTGTTAGTCATAAAATATTGACGGTCCGCATACAACATAGCGTTTGAATCTCAAATTTTTAAAACTATCAATCATCAATATTTCAACAAAAAATTAAGGATCTGCATGTAGCAGTTAGGTATTTACATAGACTTAGATCAAAGTCAGATACCATTGTGGATGTTTAACCAACAGCATATGTATGGTGTATACGTAACAACATAATATACATTTAACCACACATACATGTAAACTAATAGAATCGATACAGATTTTTTCCTTTTAAAGTTATCTTATTGAATACTGATAATTTAAATAAGATATCATAATAGGTAGAATAATAACATTTGCACCACACTTAAACCGAATTACACAGGGCGATATATCCAACCTTTATTAGGTGGATTTCCTCTAAATTAACACCAATTGACTAGTAACCACAAGCGAACACAGCTTTCAACTTTACACTATTTAAGATACAAAAAAAAAAATACTACACTGCACCGAAGCCACATCCATTCAATACCAGTGATATTTATCACAACCAGTCTAATTTGTTGATGAAGCTTGTGTGGGCCTGAGTTGATGCTTGTATTTATAATATGCTCAGATACTAAAATACATAATATAAAAATAGATTTACAATATTAAAGTATATCAGAAATCTAGAAATAGTGGAGAACAAATATAGGTGGCAAAAGGTCAATTAAATACTTGACCAAAATATAAGGAAATTCAATAAAAAAAATACATAATTAAACGTATGAAATAATCAATTTTTATTCCTCTTGTACAACTGTTGTCTTTTCAGATACATATAAACCATCCAAGAACTTACGGATATCCTTGTTCTTTACGGTTGTAGACTGTTGGATTAAAGCAGCTAGAACAAATAATAAATTATAAATTATTACCACTAAGAACTAAATTATTTTTTACAATATATTAAATGCAATCTAGAAAATTCAATAATATAAGCACAAATTCAATCAAGGACTATTAAAGACTTAAACAATTTATACTTATTATAATAGGTCAAAATGTTAGAAGTATGTCTTACAATAACAGTTTCGACTAAGGAGATTGGAAACGGTCAGTTATTTTAACCACAATCTAACACAATCAGTTTTCAATCATACAAATGGACTTAGTAATATGATTATACTTTTGAAAAGCAATTTGAGTTTAAAATTATATCTACTTTTTTATTATTTTTTGCAGTTTGAAACCGACGGCGCCGAGGGAATTGCTTTAGCATTACTTCCGCAGCGCGGAATTATATCTACTTAAGATCGATCAAGATCACTTTCTTTTAAATGTTGTTCCCTAACTCCTATACATTTTGTTGAAATATTTAAAATTTATGTTAATTATTCAAATTTTAAATTAAACATGAGGCCTGATCGATCTCAAGTTCGTATTGTGTAATTAGGTCTATCAGTAAGACTGACAGTTGGTACATACTACATACAAATGATCATACATTGTTGATCATTCACATGTACAAAGCCAAGGTGACTTGTATGTACGCCTGTGCAGGACAAACTGATATTTATTTTACATTAGGCCAGTCGTAGGTATTCCAAAACAGTGGGCAAGGTTATTGCAGCGAGTATGCAGAGGGTTGTGGCTATTTTTTTCACTGTATCGGTGTGCGCAAGGAATTTCATCACGCACACTAATGATCAGTTACTAAATATAAGTTAACAAAATACACATACGTGCTATTAGAAAAAGGCCTATTTTGAACTTTATATTAATCCCCTTAAAAGCGGGAACACACTCTCCAGTTACAGCCAGTGGTAATAAACATCCAGGTTGACCACAACATGCTGCAGTTTAAGACAACTATTTTAGGTTAGAGTTGCCATACTTCCCGGTACAACATGACATGTTACCAGTTTATGACTTTGGTCTCAGTCGTCCCATTAGGGCAGTGTTTCCCAACCTTTTTTTACTCAACGCCCCTTTTAGATTTTAAAAATCTCACACCGCCCCCCCCTAATCAATTTTTTTAAATGATAAACGTTTTATTTTTTATTAAGCTATTTAATTTAAGACAAAATATCATTTAACATTTTAACGCTACAATTTAATTAATTTTAAATTTAAATACCTACCAATAATTAATAATTATATAATTTGATTCGAATTCGCTAATATAAAATTATAATACAAAAAATACTTATTTGACTAATGACTGCCCTGAGGTTGATGTTTTCCTGCTAACGAAATGATATCTGGCTCAATAGATGTCAGAATTAGTCTGGGTATTTTATTCTACGCAGTTATACATTTCATTACAATCAGTTATAAACAAAAAAAATTAAAGGATACATGAGCGCCCCCTTTAGCGCCCCCTTCAAAATAAAAAATGCCCACAAGGGGGCGGTAGCGCCCACGTTGGGAATCACTGCATTAGGGTATTAGACCATCCAAAAGTTACAGTAAAGACTTAACCGTTAATTGGTTTTTATTATTTCAAATAGGTATAAACTAAAATATTGGTTTTACAAAAATCTACACAGGAAAAGAAGTAAAATATTTGTTTACCAAGTTAAAAATGATTATTTATATTATATATTATACATTTATACCTACTGCTGTTTTTATTATAATTTTTTTTTTTAAATGCATTCAAACAAAAAGTATTAATATAAGTAATAAGTACCTAGCAAAAAGTAATAAGAATTGTAGGAAGTTAAGGTAAAACAATTCTAAAAAAAGGATATTATTATTTCCATATAACTTATATGATATATGCAAAAAAGGTAATTCAATAATTTCAAAATTGGGGCAACTCTATTTTAGGATAGCGTGGTTGGTCTAATTTAAAACAATGTATTTCGATCAAACCAGATAATTTCTACTGTTGAGGTCAGAATTCAGTGGGAAACCGGACAGTGTGTTTCCAGCCTTAGATTATTTTATTTTGCAAATACCATATTATTATTTTGACAAACCAAATTATATTAAAAAATTGAATTGAATGTAGAATGCTGTTCAATTGATTTTATGATTTGCATTTGTATTTAAATAATCATTATTCAGGCCCTCTCTTAATAGTTTAAGCAACATGTCTGATCTAACTCTCAATTTACTAAGTTTTAAAAAATTATTAAGAAAAATGAAATAGGTACTACAATATAAGTAGTTCCTCTCATATTGGTTATGGTGGAACACAACAGTGTCCAATGCATCCATAGGTCATATAATATTACTAGATCTTAGTCTTTGGGTAAAATTTGAATGAACAGAGTTTTAAAAAGACATGATTAATTGCAGCTGCTATATTGAAACATTATAATAAGCGGCTATAAGTAAGAAATATGAGTTTTCGAAATATAGTGACAAAAAATGACCAAATCTAAAAAAAAGTGAGAGTTGCAGCTCTGAATAATGTTTAGGAAATTTAATTATAGTTGAGAGTTAAATACTAAATGGTAGGTAGAGGTACTTATAATAAATAAATGTGTTATACCTGATCTAGAAACTTTTTCAATGTCATTTCCTTCTACAATTAACTCGTCTTTTTGTTTGGAGTTAGTAATTGTGACACCTGGCGACATCTTGACACGTCTGATATATTTTTCTCCCAAGAAATTTCTGATTTCAATAAGTGAATTATTTTCAGAAGTAACACAATTGATGGGGAAATGGGCATATACGGCTCTCATTTTGTACAAGAAACCCTAAAAATATTAAAAAATATTAATACAAACTAACACTTAGGTATCAATCGAATGGCACTCACTTTGGTGACACCCTTAATCATATTTTCAACATGAGTGCAAATAGTTCTGACCGCGGCCAATTCTTTCTTGGTTCCAAACCATTTTTCAACAGTTAATATACGTGGTCCTTGCAGGTATATATCAACAGCTAAATGTTTGAAATTCCTTTCTAACGAACCACGGGGGCCTTTGACAACTATGATCCTCTTGTTGACTGTGACATCAATGCCGTCGGGGATTTTCACAGACTGGTTGGCGTTTATGGTCCTCATCTGAAAATTTTTTTTAAAAAAATGTTTAAAACAAGCATTCAATACACAATACACACAGAACGACAAAACATCATAATATTTCGGTTGATTATTAAAGATCAATACAAAAAATGAATCTGTGTACAACTAGGCAATAACGAGGGTATACAGAATAACCGGAAGATCGGGAAAATTGATGGTATTCAAAACATTGCACAATGAAATCACTCAGATTTATACGGAACGATAGTTTCCATGAAAGACGTAATACGAGGGTAGACACAGTCCGTGTGCACTTCAAAAAGTTGAGGATAGTCACGGTGAAGTCGATACGTTCCAAAGTTTCAAACTCACGGTTTGGACAGGTAGATATGTTTATAAATGATCGGCGAACAGGCAAAACCGGGTCCGAGAGATTTCGATCGACGTGGGGATCGATGGAAACGTAAACTGAAAGTGCCGGAGGAGCGCAAATCGACGTTTCGGTGGTCGTCACCGCTTACGTTCCGGGACCCAAAAAAAAATGTATTCCTTCACGCGAACGCAAAAAAAAATTAAAATAATGATTGCGAAGAACTTACTGCGACGATCAATTGGGTTTTAAATGTAATACAGTAGACAAAAATTTGGATTACCTTGGATGAAAATCCGGACACACAGAAGACGCGAACTAGAATCGAAGAAGAGAATAATTTGTTTAGGTGCGAATTCTAGGTTATGATTTTACGAAAAAATGTCATGAGGACGTGGTATACGCGGTATATGGTAATATGCGGTATCTAGTCGCGGTCATGAACCGCGTAACCAATATTGTTTGATTATTATTTTGTTTTTATTATCAGTGTTCTTATCAATCGATGTTTTCGTTTCGGCGTCGGTTCGCGAATAGCGAATCACTATAATTATAATTGCTCAGTGCTCACTGCTCAGAACTTTGAAGTCAGAAACTAAGAACTCAAAACTTTAGAACTTCAGAAGTGCTTATTTCGTCTGCTTACTACTACTGGTTACGGCTTATCAGCCTTACCATTCTTTCGGAAAACGATTTTTGTTTCGTAAGTAAATATTTTATTTATTATTTGACGAAAATACGCGACCATTTCTAAAAACAAACGCCATGACTGACGTAAGCTCGTACAGAGACCAACACTTTAAAGGCTCTCGTGGTGAGCTGGACAAGATGTTGCGTTTGTCGACGACCATGTACATTGGAAACTTGGCGTTTTATACGACTGAGGGACAGATATACGAGCTGTTCTCAAAGTGTGGTGATATTAAGCGCATCGTCATGGGCCTGGATAAATTCAAGAAAACGCCCTGTGGCTTTTGCTTCATTGAGTACTATACAAGAGAGGATGCTGAGAATTGTATGCGTTTTGTCAATGGCACCCGACTGGACGACCGCATCATAAGAACAGACTGGGACGCCGGATTCCTAGAAGGCAGACAATACGGCCGTGGAAAAACAGGCGGCCAAGTGCGAGACGAGTATAGGACTGATTATGACATCGGCCGAGGTGGATATGGCAAAAACGCTCAACCCAAAGCGGACATGATAATATTCGGAAGAAACAAAGACGCCCTTCCATTGGAATGATGCACAATTTTAGCTCAATTTGCCACCAAATTATTTAAATATATATAATTTTTTTTTTTTATCACGTGTAAATTTCATACCACTTGATTTTGTAAATAAATAAATATTTTATATGTTGTAGAAGTGTATTCAATTCAAACTCAATTGATCATATTATGATCATGTTATATTACATTGGGATGTGACATTTTAAATTGCTACACACAAATGAATAATAACCGATCAGATAATTTGCATTGCTGTGAATATATTAACATGAACGAAGAAAAGTCTACTATAATATCAGACCTTTGTAGTTGTCCACCATTTGGAAACTGCTGTTCAAAGTAAATATACTTATTATATTATTGAATACTGGCATTGTTTTTAGTTTGCAATTTTTAGTTCTTTTTTTAACAATTAGCAGCAAATTTTTTATAATGAATAACAATGGTCTATGGTCTTATACAAAACTTTAACCATAAATTAAATATTTAAGAAATAAAACTGTTGGTGAATTAATTAATAAGTTTGCTACTTTAACTTACCAACTATAAGTTTAAAATTATTTTGTCCTGAAATAAGTGTCGGTTGTAAAAAAAAAAAAATACTAAACACCTACTAATATTAATACATTTTCATTTTTAAAGCTCTTGGTCTAGTCAATAAAACATTTTAAGTCTAGTAAAAAAAAAAAGTGATAAATTTAGTGTTATAAGTGAACCTAACTATTTTTTACATACAAATATACTTCTTAGTATTTTTCTTATAAAATGAATAGATTAACAATCTATATAGTATGACCAACAACTGGTGGCTTATTTTGATCAAAATAAAAATAATATAGTGACTGTTTTGTGTGAAAATTTCATAGAATATTTAAGTTAAGCTGATGAGTTTAAAAAAAATTAAAAATGTATTGGACAATTTGAATTGTATTTGTTATTTATGTACATGCGAGTTGCAATGTATTTACATTTAAACTAAATATTTTTTGGATATAAACTTTTTTTTTAAGCGTATTAATTAATATATTAATAAAATCCAAGTAAAAAATGTGATATGCATTTTCTCAATATTATATGTTATTAAATACATTTTATATATTAATGGTTTGTTAATAACTATTGGACTATACTAAAACAATCCTAAAACTTGTAGTATGCAATGCAAATAAAAATATTTTACCAACAATTTTAAACAGCCAGTATTTCAATTAATATGTATTGTTGCTTGGAAATATGTAGAGAACAATTGTTAAGGAAAGATAAAAGCCTTTTATTTCATGGCTCATACCAATCATAAGCATGAGTTCACAATATTATTGAAAAAAGTTTCACATTTAAAACATTTGTAATTGCTTAATCAAAATGACAAAATAGATTTTAAAATTAAAAAGGAAAATAATTTATTAAAACAATATTGCATGTGAGTATTATTAATGATGTGGTATCTTATACATCCTGTTATTGCTAGTTAAAAAAGTAAACTAATATAAAATATAAAAGGGGCTTTTAGAGATAGATTTGTAGTATGAGGATATAAAGTATATATATTATATAGTATATCTGATCACCTTCACAAAAGACAGTATTAAATTCGGATCAAAGTGATCTACTACTTATGTACAATTTTCTTTATAAAATTATTATATTTTTCTATCATTAAGAGAATGCTACACAGATATATCTTGTTGTCTCCGCCTTACAAGTGTGTAACATAGTAAATTTACCCTAAGTAGATCATGTTTAGCTCCATTAGTTTAAAAATTAGAGTGAATCGACGTATTATGAAACTTAGTGGTAAGAACATTATTTGTGTTTGTATGTGCGTTTTGTTACGAAAATTTAGTTTTTAAGTAAGTTATGAGCATTTTTAATGTACTTACGTATGTATTATATATGCCAAACTATCGTAAAAACCTCAGATACAAACACGGTTAATGTTCTTACCACTAAGTTTCATAATAGGTCGAATCACTCTAAGTTTTAAACTAATAAGAACTAAATGTAATCTGCTGAGCGTACATTTTCTATATTACTAACTTATAAGACGGGGATAACAAATGGCCGTGTAGCGTCCTCTTCATAGGTGGGGGGCTTAGCCATGCTTAGAATTTCTATAGTCCCCTCAAAAATAATGATTTCATGACTATAATTTAAAAACATCATAAGAGTATCAAGTATAGACCTGAGCTACAGCCCCCCCCCCCCAAATTTCAAACACTGTTTACGCTTATGGTTCTCTTCAGATTTATTAGTACTATTATATTATTTGTTTACATTGTTTCAGTTTGTTGAAATGTCCGCCGTCTAGAGACATAGAAATAAATGTCATGGTGGCAAATTTTCAAGATCGATTTAGAATTCCTTGGCAGGGTGGAGCAAGACGTATTTCTTTAGATTCTGCAGTGCCATTACTTCTCTTCCCAGCCTCTCTTTATTTTGCTGCTCAAGGGTTTTGGCCGACCATTTTAATGTTTCCGTTGGTTACATTATTCCTATATTACACTCATCGTACTGTCCGCAAGTACAGAGTGGCCACAAAATTCTTTTATGTGTGGACATTGACATCGGCATCATTAGTGTTAATTGTCTTCCAGTTTCTGGTTGTTCCCATGTTAGATATAAACACCAATGAAAACATAATAATTACAGTTACTATGATAGCCACTGCGGCTTGTTTCTATTTTACGAAGAAACACGCAATTAAATCTCATCTAAAATATGATCTAGAAATGACAAATGTCAATATAACTGACGAAAACCTAGTTTTAATAAACGAAACTGAAAATGTTCAATGCAATACTTGTAAAAGAGATGTACCGTCCAGAACGTATCACTGTTTTGTGTGTAAGACCTGTGTGATCCAACAACACATACATTCTTATTGGTATGACACTAAGGTCTATCGAAATTTCTAGCTTATACAAAGCATAAATAAATACAATCATAATAGTGTTTATTTATTTATACAGGATAGACTGTTGCATTGGAAAGCATAATAGGAAACCGTATATGGCTGGTCTGGTGCTCGGTTCAGTTTTGTTTACATTCTTATCAAATCTCATCCTGACTACACTGTGTCATCCTTTCAATGTTTTTGCAACAATCATGTTACCCGATGACTGTAGTGATGTATATTATGATATTATGTAAGACAATTTTAAATATTTTAATCTATATCATCATAATACGTTTTGATTCATTACAATTTAATAATTTATACATGTGTACATTTTCATATCAACGATCGAAAAAGCGGACATAAATTAAAAACACTTATGGCACTTTTTAATTATTTATCTATTTAATTATTTATAATATAAACAGTCTAAAACATTATTACGTTTAACTGTGTAATTTCTTGTATTACATTTGCAATTATTTAAAAATGTCTCATGGCTTTACTAATTTTATACTTAAGTTCAGTGAATTTTTTTTTTAAATTCTTTTGAGTAAATAGCCAATGGTAAATTTTTAATCAATATTATTTTGTTTAAAAATTAAATTTTTTGAATTAATAATATAATATTAAATGATGAAAATATATAATAGGTATCAAAATGAATGTATGTTTGAGATCAAACACAGTAGCGTGAATTACCCATAACTTAATATTAATATGTATTTTGTTTTTTCTAGGTATGGTATTTGTTTTGTATCTGGGCTGTATTGTTTTGCTGTCGGAATAATTTTGTTTTTAATGTTTATCAATGACATCTATATGGTTTCATTAGGAATAACTTACCATGAGTGGCAAGAACAATGTAAAGATTTTAAAAGTGATTGTCGTTCTAGGCACGTAATTAGGAATATATTACCAAATTGGAGAGCATTTTTCAATAATGTCTGAACTCTGAATACATGTTTATATTTTTCATATATATATTTTATGTACCTATTACTTTCGATATGATATATATTTTTAAAAGATTTTATTGCATATTATTTAATGTTTATAATATAATAAATATAATTAATACTATTTACTAGGTATTAATTGTTAGGTATCAAAAAAATGTATGTCATAAATGTATAAGTTTATATAATAATGTGATAAATCTGTTATAAATTATAATTCAAATGTTGGAGGAATAAAGTCTGGTAAAATTTCTTGAACCTTTTCATGCCACAAACGTAGTCTACAGTCTTTGAGCCTTTCCTTGTATATTATTTCTGGAAACTTTCTCCAATTTTCGAAACAACACCTCAGTAATATCCTATAATTACATTAAAATTATTAGTATTTATCAACTATTAAAGCTTTCCTCTTATATTAATTATTATTATATTTTGATTAAATGTTAGTTAATATCTTATCCTAGGTAGTAGGTACGTTATGTTAATTATAGAGTTTGAGATTTCTAACTCTTATTATAAATAAATAAATTGCTTATTTTGAATAATATACGGGTTATACGGTCAGTGTTAAATTAAGAGTTTTACTGTTAGAAAGATAAGTTTTGGAGTTCAGTTTTGTCGTTTTGATAACTCTTTATTGATAAAATAATTTTCAAAAATGGCCTCTAGTAATTGGATTTTGCACAAATAGGACTTGTGCAGAGCTAGGTGCACCCCTACAGATCCTATATCGTCCCCATATCTTAATTCTTAAACTATATATTTTTGATAGTGCACTTATACAAAAAGGTATCTCTTGTTTTTATAAAATTATATTACTTGTTATGATAAGATTCTGCTTTCAACATTTTTTTTTGTGTTTGAACTCTAATTTCCCTAACATAGTCGAGCCATATTTTAAACCAATATTCTTCCATCTTAAAATTTCGCCAATCCTCTGCCACTTGTTGTTTTCTTTTCCTTTCTTTTAAAATCTAAAAATAAATATTGTGAAAACATATCTTAATCAATAAATTGTCATAACTTAATTAGGTAGGTAGGTATCAAGGTACCGTTAAATTAATATATAATAAATTATAGTAATTATTACTAATTATATAGGTAACCATATACACCTATGTGCAATTTAAAATAATACAATTGGATGATTATACTAGATGATATAGGTATATGTGACACATCTCATATTTATTATAGATACCTCGTAAAACCCTACAAATGTGGTCTTCAACAATTTCCGCTTGTAAAACTGTTCTGCAAAAAGAATTTTCTCGTTCAAACTATTGTTGACGTAAAACCGCCATTTGCTGAAGCAAGTGCCGACCAGTTGTCTGTCGTAGTGATCCGAAGCCTCTTCTGCCCGCCACCTGGCACAGTTTAAGTTCGCTCTGAACGCTTCGAGTCCTCTCCTCATCAACAGTTTACGGTATAAATCGTCCGCGATCCTAATGTTCTCCCTCCGCACTTCCCTTTCCGCTTTTCGTCTGCTGTCTTCGATCGCCCTCAGTCTCAGGTTTTCCCTGGCCTCGAACAACCGCTCACGTTTCTGTTCCATCCGTTCCCTCATGCACTTCTCCTCCAGCTCTTGTTTTTTCCGGAACTCTTCCTGTTCCGCCTTCCTTCGCCTCTCCTTGATCGCCTCCCACTTGGCCCGGCGTTCCAGTGCCCGCAATTCCATCCGGTTCAATATGTCGGACGGACTAGCCACAGCGGTGCTCTGCTGTTGCACCTTTAGCGCGTTTCTAGTTTTCAACCTCCTCTCGCACCCACCGGCGTGCAGGTCTCGCAATAGCCTCTGGTTCTCGAGCAACGCCTTCTCGGATTCCAATTTCAACTGTTGCACCCTCAGGCTTTCGATTTCCTTCCGCTGTTTGTCGAGCAATTTTTTCTGTTCGTCGATTTTCGCCTGCTGACGATCGCCATTGCTGACGCTCCGCTTCGTCGGCGGCGGCGCCGAGCGGTTCCACCCGCAAGTCTGTCTATTATTATTGTTGCCGGGCGTTTTATTTTTCCGCCGACGATTGTCATCCATGTCCAATTTCTCTTGGATTTTCGACAAAAACATGTCGACTTTATCGTTCGTCACCCGGGACCCTTTCGACTTTGCCACGTAATTCCGCCACCTGTCCCAGTAAATCCTCTGTATCCTCTTTTTCTCGCCCGCCGCCATTTCGAGACAGCGGCGATCTGCAGTAGTCGTACGATCAGCTCTGTCGTCGTCCGAGTTGTACTCGAATATCTTGGCCGGTTCAACGCCGCCATTATCGCAATCATTTTTATGGTAATTGATATGATTGTTCACGATGTTAACGTTCAAATGTTGTACGTTGATGACTGTGAAATTATTGACAACCGTGCCGACTCTTGCATCAGATATTGACAAGTTGTGGCAGATATTGAAAACGCCATTGACGGCCTCCGATCTTTTACTTTGAAATTCGTCGTCGTCCTGTTGCTGTGGTACGCGCCGATCGTCAGTCGACGATATTCCTCGGACGTGTCTCGATTTTTTCCTGCGCGCATACCTACCGTGTATAATATCAAAACAAAATTAATTTACGAAAAATACGTATATTGTATGTATAGGTGGACTTTCAGAGATTTGAGTTTTTCGAGGTGGTCTTTATTATATTATACAATGTGTTTTCCATATAATAATATAAAATTAATATACTAACATATCAAATTTACCCTCAGGAGAACGCGTTTAGCTCCGTTAGTTTGAAATTTAGAGTCAATCGACCTATTATGAAAGTTTATGGTAAGTACATTATCTGTGTTTGTGTGTGAGGTTTTTACGATGGTTAAATTTTTTAGTAAGTTGTGCGTATATGTATAATAATGTAGCGTAAATTAAAAATGCTCATAATTCACAAATGAATTATCGTAAAAAAACAAACACAGATAATCGTTTTACCATAAAGTTATATATATATATAATAGCGAATAGGTCGATTCACTCTAATTTTTAACCTAACTGAGTTAAACGTGATCTGCTGAGCGTACATTGTCTATATTAGGTAAGCTTTCAAATCTGTCCATGTTTATATATTTAGGTATTAATGTACATGTACATTGTACCAGCTAAAATGGTTTTTAACGGTTAACACGTGATATACACCGATACTCGTGACTTGTGTATAATAGTATTATACATGGGTTGTCGATGAAAAATAAAAACTTACTTGTTTATGTCTGAAATCACTCTTTTACAGTCCCGCTCAATTAACCAACGATGTTCGTCTTCTGTCTAAAATGTAATTTAAATAAATACAATTAATATTAGGCAACTATAATACTACACCTAAATATTATTATAATATTAAGTATGTGAGTATAATATTATGACGTTGTATAAATATTGCCTAGGATATTTGAGATCGTGCTTATAGAAAGCAAAAACAACCCAATCTTTTAAGAAATGCTCAAAGTCGTGTACAAATAACTTACTCAATTGACCAATAATTACTACAACTCAAACAAAAACAGAACAAATGCAAATATTTCATAACATAAAAGTAAAAACCATTGCGGTTACATAATTAATATAATCATATAGCTATAAAAACATTTTATATACAAGAGTGATACGGTACATTACGGTAAACAAGTTAATATAAGATATGAACTTTGTCTTATTTTTTAAATACCAATTTTGCTATTTACCAAGCGTCTTTCGGAATTGCTAACGATTCTATCCAATCGTTTCCTATTAACGATGCTGTAATCTTCTAGACTCCTAGTGGAAAACTGTTCAACGTCCACTGCTAAGTTGCAGTACTTAACGGCCTGGTGATCGATGTTGAACGTCATCTCAACACAATAATATAATATCGTTCTCGGACATACCTAATTGTGTATGTATATAGAGTGTAAATTAAATATTAACACAACGTATAATATTTTTAATATTCAACTTTAAGAGATAGGTGCATACAAACTGTCTATTATGTTGTGCAATACCTATGTCATGAGGTTAGCTTTTAATTAGGTTTCATAAAGTTTTGTTTACGCCTTCCACGCCGATTTATCGATAACACCGACGACTGCGTGTCGTACAATATTACACATTATAATAACAATATCAACCGGACCCTACATGATGTAGATACTAGCTGTGGTGCCAGTTAGAAAATGTTTACGTGTTACTGCCGCAATCGCTATGACAACATTACCATGATGATGTGGGTGTATATTATTATCGTATTTTAGGTAGCCGGTAGGTACACGTATGGTGGTTGCATAGTATGATCTATGTATAATATACAATACAATAATTGTTGTTAATTTATTGTTGTATAAGTTTTAAATAAGTAATTTTGAATGTATTGTTTACTATTCACATTTATCGGTTTATAGTAGGTACCAGGTACCTATATATTTCACTCCATGTATATGTCACCCTTATAGGCTGTAAAGTTCTCGCGACTCCCAAGGGAAGTACTCATCGTAACACAGTTTGGAAACCGCTGATCTAGTATATTATTTTTCAAAAGATATTTTGATATTTAAATCCAACTAAGCAAATAATATATACTTCTAAACTTCTTTGCGTGTAGTATTTCTATGGCAATAGCGACAAATATTATTTTTACTTAACAGTGAGCACCATCGTGTGTTCGCTTTTTCAAGAGACGAGATGAAGAACACTGCACACGTGATTGGCATGGAGCAATCCCACCCAACTTTGGAGGTGACCACTGACCAAACATAGCTTCTGGACTGCCGAGACTTATAATATGTGGAAAACCGCTGTTACAACGCCCCTCGCGCTCGGTTACCAGCCGAATTCGACAATCTGTCGACACCTCCCCAAAAGTCATTCACGTACCCTCAAAGCTGGTTGTAAGCCCTGCACCGGAACCGTAAATATAGTACCCAATGCTCCATCACTACTGCTGATTTCGGGACCACCGCCTCCATCTTCGGAAATCCTACGGTACGGCGTGTTGGTACACTCTAAAGCTGACTTAGCGATGACTTCAGCTATGCAGCAAGGAGAAAAAAATGTCAATGAAATAGGTAGGTACCCGTGGTAATTCATGTGCGATATGTATATTTTATAAACAGTAAATTTGTATATTTTTATGCATTTATGCGCACTGTGCTATTACATAATATGTTTTTAGTATTTACATGGCAGTTTATGATATTGCATTACATTACGAGGACCAGTTTACGTTTAGTAGCCTATCTACAGCGCCGTGTGATCATAATATAAATCTAAATTAAATTTTTTTTTTATTTTAGATTCAATTTAGTTTTAAATTCATAAATTTCAACTATGATATTATACGTGATTACGTGAATACACCGAGCTAGATTCGGCCAGTTATAACTAATAATTAATTAGTATAATATGTTTATTTCCATTATCTACTAGATACTTTTTCATCAAACAATCCCATTTATAATAAATCGATGATCGGTTATTGGTTTTGAACATTGCTGACATTATTATTATAATTTTTATAGCTATTATTATTTTGATACATAAAATAGGCTAGGCCCAAAAATAATGGCACATTATTATACGGGGCCATAAACAGTATAACAAGTTTGGTAAAAAAAAAGTATATATAGTGTAATTGGATTATATTTAGGACGCACTAAAAGTGAAACTATATTGGGATCTCCAATGCAGTCACTGCACCGTTTCAAAACTCATTAAACGTCAGAAGATGGAGAAAAAGAGAACAATAATGATTCCTTTTAATTTTAAAACAATAACTGCAGACAGTTCGGTTTATTGTTTATAGGAAATCGATTTCTATATAGAGGGCGATCGACGAAGCCTTCTATAGAAATTGTATATCAGCCTTTCGATCTACAATTTTATTTGGGTAATTGGGTACAATACTTATCGAGCATACAGTGAAGGATTTAACTATTTAAGGGTTTAATTAATAAAGTCAGCAAATTATACGAGGGGCCTCGTATACAAAATGCATCAGTGACATACCTGCGAAATAGTTGTTTTTATTAACCTAACAATGGAAATGATATTGCAGTAATGCATATTATTGCATTTTTCAATATAAAATGTATTCATTATTTTATGGTAAAAATTGAAAAAAAAAATGTAATTTTAACGTTAAAATGTGCCATATGAGGAGAAGGGCCCGTCGGCATATGACAACTATAAACGACCGTTAAATCCACCACTCATACATGATTTATGATACAGCAATAATATTATGATGCGTGGCTTGTGCTCAAATCATACTTTTTTTACGTAACGTTTACAAAAAAGTATAGTTTTTATGAATTTTTTTTTTTTCAATAATATAATAATTATATATATATATAGATACTCTGCGTCACTGTTTAAAATAACACAGTATATTCAGTATAATATTATTGTATATAAATTGAATATATACACGCGTATTGGAATATGCATATTCCAATACGCGTACATGTTATTCATTATTATTATATATGCAGTGTTATATAGGTATTAATATAATAATATAAATGCATACCTGTATGAGTCTATACGGTTGTACCAGGTACTAATACTAATGTACCTATATACTAACACCGACGCCTATCAATAAGTAGTAACCTAATGTTCACGAAATAATAATAATAATATTAGGTATGTAGGCAATGGGCATAGCTGGTTTTTTTTCCATTTCAGAAAATATAATATTTTAGTCGACAAGAATACCGATAAATATTTCGTTCCGTACACACATTGCAGCATCGGCAGACCGTGACCAATTATTATTATTATATTGAAGTGCGTGTCGTAATGAAGTTCCAAGCACAATTTTTACTGTATTTAACGGTAAATCTGAAATCATATTATTTATTGTTATACATTGCAGGATGAAAAAGATTCAAACGGCAAATGCAATAATGATAATAATATAATATTAGCTATAATTGTATACTATATACGCGTTTCTCATCATAGGTCATCGCATTCACCAATTCATCATATTATCAATATCGGCTATCACTATTTAATGATACTCATCAATTTATATAGCTCACGATATTTTAATATTTTCAGGAGGCAACACATACCACATACGGAGTCATTTATATATTTTTAGATTCTGAGTGAAACGATGAATGTATTGATTTTACAATGATGTGTGTTTTTTTTTTATTTTTTTTTTTATTTTTTTTTTATTTTATTTTTTATTTTTTTTGTGTCTGTGTACACGATAAGTAGTCGAAATAATGCTTCGATTTTCGACTTCAGTATCTTGTTCGATTGGAAAGTGAATATCGTTGGTGCATTGGGGAGGTCAAAATTTAAATTTCCCAGTAGTTTTCAAGAGCGCCGGGAAAAACAAAAGAAAAATTAAGGAAAAACGGGAATTTTTACGCAAAATCGATTTTTCAGAAAATTGAATTTGGTTTTTGGTGTAACTTTAAAACAAATGACCGTAGGTACATGCAATTTTCACTGGTTGTTTATATTTGCATCTTCTATACACGATAACATTTTCAAAATATTTTGATTTATTTTGAACAGTTTAGGGACATTTTCATTTTTAGTTTTTTTTTAGTTTTTTTTCTAGAAATATCAATAAAATTTTATTTGTTGGTTGCGAAAGCTTGAAAATTTAATAGAAGGCTCCTAATATATTGTTTCAAGGGCAGATGAAAAATATTAAAAATCCTTAGTCACAATTTTTTTTTATAAGCATTTAAAGTTCAAAAATTGACAAAATATGGAAAAATCACGAAAATTAGCAAATTATTTTGAGTTAAGAATTCGTAAAAATTTTTCTTTTTAAATCTAAGATTTGAAAATCTAATACAAGATTACTCATAAGATTGTCTACCTTTATCAATAAAAAAATCTCTACCGGAAAGTCAAATTAAATTTTTATGAGCGTTTGAAATTCAAATTTTTACAACATTGGATATTCACTCGATTTCTCATGTGGCAATTTCCTTTTTTTGTTGTAATTAAAAAACGAATTACTGTAGATACATGAAAATTTCACTGAATGTTTATATTAGCATTTCCTATACACCATACAATTTTGAAAATATTTTGACTCTTTTTGAGCCGCTTACGGACATTTTCAGTTTTCAATTTTTTAGTTTTTTTTTTCTATAAATATTAATTAAGTTTTATCTGTTGGGCCAAAAAGTGTAAAAATTTAATACAAGGCTCCTGATATATTGTTACAATATCAGTTGAAAAATATTAAAAATACATAGGCACAATTTTTTTTTATAAGCATTTTAACATCGAATTTTGACAGAATTTTTCAAAATCTCGAAAATTATTAATCATCGTAATTAATAAATTATAAAATGTTCAGTTTTTATAGCTAAGGATTGAAAATTTAAAACAAGATTTCACGTAAGTAGTTAATTCTCTTACCGAAAAATCTAAAAAATATACAATCACAGTTTATTTTTATAGTCATTTTATGTTCAAATTTTGACGAAATTACATATTAAAAAACCTAGTTATTTTGTTGTGATTATATAATATTATTCGTGGGTACCTACTTGAAACTTCTAAAGTGTACTATTATATATATATGATAGTATCAGGGTTTGTTGTTGGTGTATAACGTGTTATTAGTACCTAATGGATATTGTGATAATGTGATATGATTAATTTGGAATTTATTATAGGTCAATTTTTTTTTAATACCATAGATATGTATATAATTTGTCTTAACCTAGACTGACATACCGTCTTCGCTCAGAATCGTTTTTCTTATACAATGATATTGTATCATTGAATTCAAATTTAATAGCATCAATTATACAGTGACCCACTTGTAACCTACTGTACAGCAGAGCGACATCCACTTACCCACCTTTTTAAT